GAGAAGACGACTAGCCAACCAATACAGAAATTATCCTGTGCTTCGTGGTTGAATTACACTCTATTGATTTGAGCTCTCAGTTCTATTTTGGCTACAACTACGCCATTAGGAGTCCGATTATAGCGATCCCATAGTCATTTCCAACTATTTGGACCCTTCTGAACACATCCGTAAGGTCCAATTCTGCAAATTTTGAGTCACATATCGAGCTCAATACATCAGCCAATCGGGAATATTAAATGCAAAATCAACAGTTACATCATACCCGATCGGCATGCACTTTCAGCAACAGGATCTTGGGGCTAGGAAATAATCCTTTGTCTTCCCCAATCATTCATTTCATTACCTTGGCCATTTATTGCCCACTGGGGCATCTTAGTCAATTTTTCGCTTTCCAATTGGGGCACATCAGCCGATCATCATCTCGGGACCTCTGATATGCATGCATACTCGGCCAACTTGGTACAAATATTACAACGAAATTTACTTGAGTTACAAACTCCCGTTCCTTTTCACGCTGCTCTAAGTAAGCACCAATTTTGGGACAATACATTACACACTTGGCAGTTCGTATATTTTTGCGCGCTGTCATTTTACCAAAACCGAATCTTTCCTGCAGCATAGGGCAATGGGGCAAGTCCAATATGCATTCCTTCCGACTAACACCTGTCATTCGAAAGCAATGAGGTAAGTCTACATTGGACTAAACGCAAACCGAGCAATACTACTTGGCCCAAATTTTACTCGACAATTAAATAGTTGGTTCAATATCTACTTGGCAATTCCTTACAAGCAGAGCAATATTATTAGTAATTAATACGTTTACCTCATTCGGTACAGGCCATCACTGACAGGGTGCATTATTCAAAATCCTTGCAATATTGACACTTGATCGCCACTTAAAATAAGCAAAAGTTTTGCACTCGGCACAGAGCGCCATCAGCAAAGGCCTACACCTGCGCTTGGAGGTTAGAATACCGCAACCTACACCTACGCCCGGAGATTAGAATACCGCGGCCTACACCCTCACTCGGGGTTGTAATACTGCAAGTCTACACCTTCGCCCGGGGGTAATAATACCGTGGTCCATTTTTTGGCTGATATATCTACGTTATTTAATTTACATTATTTGGTTCAGGAAATCATTTCCGTGCTCGGCACATAGAAATATCTTTAGCTTGGCATGAAAGTCCATATTTTGAAGTGCTCTTCGCACTTGGCAATATACTACACCCTCGCCCGGGGGTCATAATACCGTGGCCTACGACCCTTGCCTGGAGGTAACAATACTGTGACCCATCGTTATGATTTGTTTGGAACTCACGTGATATAATTTCGTACTATGATCACCATCATTTATTTAATCTCTCTCCCTTATATACATATATTTGTACACGCATTCAAACATACATCCATTCATACAGTCATCCATTCATTTATCAATTTGAATAAGGTAACTCGGCAATAAAAACTCTCATTCCTTCTACAGCAGATAATGAAAGTTTTGGGGCAATTATGGGAGCCAGAAAAAAAAATATATCAACTTATTGGGGCTAACCCAAACAAGGCCTATAATGGGCCCAGCCCAAATAATATCACACCCCCCATCTATATAAGGGGGGGGCATCCCAAGTGGAGGTAGGTTCATCTCTTTGCCAAACATCACACTAACACTCTTCATTTTTCTTTATCCTCCTTCTCTGATTCCGGGGCTAACTTTATCATCGGAGTGTCTCTGGCCGGTAACCCCGGTTAGGTGGCGCCGACTATGTTACCTTGTAGATCTACAGGAGCCAAGGTTATTTATTCGTTAGATCTCATTAACTATCCATGTGAGAGGATTTTCTGGGTCTCACAACCCCTAATTACTAACTACTTTCTCCACAACCTGCTTGAGACATTGGCCATGCAACAAAGAAGGCTTATTCCTTGTGTTTGATCTTGAACCTCAGAAACCCTAGCTTTGTCAAATTTAACAGCTTTAAAAATTCAAAATTATATAAAATTAAAAAAACAAAATCAAAATTCTAGAAACTCTTTGTGTTCTATACTAAACACTTGAAAAAACATCTGCACAAAATCAATTTACAAAACCTAAAGAAATAGAACAAGAACACTCCATACTTCTAGATAACTATAAAATAAGCATCAATCAACCAAAATAACAGAAAAAGTACACTTTTAGCAGCGATCAAAATGATAATAATTGAACAAATTCGAATGAATCAACGAGAACTCACCTCGTGTAGATAATCAGTGTGATCTTGAAAGCATCTTCGATGACATCGAAAATGTACAAAAATAGAGATTGGGAACATAGCTCTATTTGATATTAGAGAGAGAGAGAGAGAGAGAGAGAGAGAGGATTGTAATTTGCACCTTCAGAAGATCATCGACTGTTGACTCAGAAGAACTTGAAGGAACTCGATTCAAAATAGAGATTCGCTAACATAGGGCTTCATCAACAAGTATCTAGGGTTTCGAAAAAGAAGCCTAGTAGTTATTGACCTATTCAAAATAAAATAAAATAAAACAAAATTTTGAATTAAACAAATCAAATCGAATAAAACAAACCTGATCTCCAAATGAGAAAGATTAAACTAAATCACACAGATAAAATACAAAAATCTATATGAGCTTTTCATACATATATATATATATAGAGAGAGAGAGAGAGAGAGAGAGAGAGAGAGAGAGAGAGAGAGAGAGACTCAAAGAGCTCTAATCGGGCTTTGCTGCACTTTTTCCTCGAATGATCGTCGGTGGAAAGATGACGGCATCGGAGGATGGTGGAGTGGGACGACACCAGTGGAAGGATGGTGGAGTGAGGCGACACCGATGGGGGGAAGAGAGTGATTTTGCCTATGAGAGGAAGAGAGATATAGTGTAAGAATGAAATTGGAGAGTTGGGGATGCTGTCGCAAAAACATAAAACTACGTTGTTTTAATAATTTTTTTTGCCATGGTTTATCTGTCACAACTGATGGACCTTTTTGCGACAGGTAATTTGTTTCCGTCGTTAAAAATAATGCCTTTTTGCTCATTTATTAGTGACAGTCATTTTCTGTCTCAACAAATACTATTACCAACAGATTATTTTATCTGTTTCAAGTGTACCTTTTGTGACAGAAAATCAATCCGTTGCAAAAAGTTCTGTGTTTTCTGTCTCTTTTCTAGTAGTGATACGACCATACTATCACTACAAAAATCACCTCAACCCATCACCCTATCAGTGTTGCAACCATCACTGTCATCACCAACACTGCCGAACCGCACGGTTTGAGATGTTACAAGAAATTGTTACACAAATAAACGATGACTTTACCACATGAAATGGAGAAAGTCTGGCAGTGTAAATAAACAGAGACTTTAGGAGGCACCACCTATGAGACAACCCAAACAACCAAACTCCAGCCTGCAGATTAATAGAGTTAACTTTATATTAGCAGATATTTTAATATTATGATATGTTATAGATTATATTTTTTGCTCAGGATTATATTGTGTGCTTTGGCTCCAAGTAACTCATTATCCAAGCTATATTTCTTTGCCTCTAAGAAAAGTTTCTTGCCCACCAAGTTTCCTCTCATCTAAGAAAATCCTTTTCTTGCCCACCAAGTTTCCTCTCCTATAAATTGAGCTAACGTCTTATCTTGGAAAAAAGAAGTGTTTGTTGTTTTATTGTGTTTGCTGTTTTATTATGTTTGTGTGAGATTATTAGGCAAAGAAATAAAGGGTGTATATGATGAAGCTTTGGGTTCAACCAATTGTTTAGTATTGGCGAACCATACGACTTAGTCGGGTTGTTGTATCCTGGGGGGGACAAGTCAAGGTTTTTTTCTGCTGCACCGGTGTAAAGCTTTGCCTAGCCGCAGAGGACTTGAATCTCCTTAAAGAGAGCGAATTTTTTGCACCTCAACCCTCTCAATAGTTATTGTAATTTTTATTATTTGTATTTTTTGGTATTTTATTTGTAATTATCACCAACACTTTAGATAAGCAAGCAGGACACATCAATTTCTCTCTCCTCTATACCCATTTCTCTCCCTCTCTAACAATTACAACCTCTTCTCTGTCAGTACTCTGGCTTAATCATGAGGCAAGTAAGTCTACCCCCTAATGTCTTGTATTTAAACTTAGATAAGAGTGTTCAATTTTTATGATTCATATGCTTAATTTTGTCGAACAATTCTAATTGTAGTTAGAAAAATAAACAAAATATATCAGCGCACTCACAAACCCTATGTAGGCCCATGCCAAATAGTAATCAGCTTGTTTGATTTTGGTTTCCAGAAAATACTTTTCAAAAATTTTATTTTTTTATTTTTTTTTAATTTTCAATGATTTTTTTAATATTTTAAACAATTTTTAATTTTTTTTTTAGACTTGAAATAAAATAAAATTTTACTGTAAAACCACAACTTCAACACATCCATAGACTACCATTCAACAACATAGTAAAATTTTACTCTAAATGTAAAATTTTACTCTGAAATAAAGTAAAATTTTACTGTGAAACCATTGGCTCATCACAGCCATAGGAAACCATTCAACAACATAGTAAATTTTTACTTTGAAAGGCAGTAAAGTATTACCTTCATGTGAATGAAGGTAATGCATATGTTTTGAAAATCTATGGTGTTAGGTATAATTTCCATCTGTGCTTAAAATGCGTATGTTTTGATAGATTCTAGTTCTACACACTCATTTGTGTCGCATGCCTTTTCTCGAAAATTGACTAGATCTTTAAAACCCATGAATTATTTACTGTCTGTTTCTACGCCATCTAGGGGTTCTATGATATGTACTTATGTTTATCCAGCATGTGAATTAGTAATTAGTGATGTGACATTGTATGTTGATTTATTGCCGTTGGGCATTGATTATTTTGATTGCATACTGGGTATGGACTAGTTGACGAAGTAATGTGCAACTATTAACTGTGTGAATAAATCTGTTGTGTTTCGTTCGCCTGGATTACCTGAGTTTGTGTTTACTAGGAATGGGGTAGTTCCTTTCCCATACTTGATTTCTACCATGAAACTGTGAAACTACTTAGGAAGGGATGTAGAGGGTATCTGTGTTGTGTTTTGACTGTGACTCCTGATAATCCTACCATAGAGAACATCCCCGTAATAAACGAATTCCCTGATGTATTTCCAAATGAATTTCCCGGAGATTTGATTGATAGGGAAATTGAGTTTACTATTGATGTTATACCTGGAACACAACCGATTTCCAAAACTCTATATAGAATGTCAACTTCTGAATTGAAAGAATTGAAAACTCAACTTTAGGAACTGCTAGACAAAAAGTTTATTCGCCCAAGCACTTCGCTATGGGATGGCCTAGTTTTGTTTGTCAAGAAGAAAGACGAATCTTTGAGGCTATGTATAGACTATCGGGAATGAACAAATTGATTATTAAGAACAAATACCCATTACCTTGAATAGATGACCTGTTTGACCAACTTCAGGGAGCATAAGTGTTCTCTGAAATAGACCTTAGATCCAGATATCACCAGTTAAAGGTCAAGGTAGAAGATGTTGAGAAAGCGGCATTTAGAACTAGATATGGGCATTATAAATTTTTAGTCATGCCATTTGGGATAACCAATGCACCCGCAGCCTTTATGGAACTGACGAATAGGGTTTTTAAACAATTTTTGGATGAATTTATAGTTGTGTTTATTGATGATATTTTGATTTATTCCAAAAGCAGGAAAGGGCATGAGAACCATTTGAGAACTACTTTACAGATTCTAAGTGTGAGTTTTGGCTTGACAGCATAGCATTTATGGGGCATGTAATCAACAAGGATGGTATCACTGTTGACCCACAGAAAATTGAAGTTATTGTGGACTGGCCTAGACCGACAAATGTGTCAGAAGTTAAAAGTTTTCTGGGACTTGCTGGCTACTACATAAGATTTGTGAAAGATTTTTCGAAACTTGTTATGCCATTGACACAGTTGACACAGAAAAATATACCATTTGATTGGAATGATCAACGGGAGTCACCCTTCCAAGAATTGAAAACTAGACTGTTAACTGCACCAATTCTGACATTACCTAATGGAACCGATGGATTTCAGATTTACAGTGATGCTTCGTACAAAGGCTTAGGATGTGTGATAATGCAAAACGGAAAGGTAATTGTCTATGCTTCCCGGCAACTTCGACCGCATAAAAAGAACTATCCAACTCATGACCTAGAATTAGCAACTGTGGTGTTTGCTTTAAAAATTTGGTGACACTATCCGTATGGTGTGACTTGCGAGGTGTATACTGATCACAAGAGCTTGAAATATTTCTTTACTAAAAAAGAACTAAACATAAGACAGATGAGGCGGCTCGAGTTGATTAAAGATTATGATTTGCAGATTCTTTACCATCCGGGGAAAGCCAATATAGTTGCAGATGTTTTAAGTCAGAAGTCAATTTGGAATTTGTCATGTTTGCTCATCGGTCAAAAAGAATTGTTATGTGACTTGGAAAGAGATAGAATCGAAATTGTGTTACATGAACAAGGTGGAATCTTGGCCGCCATCTCTGCTCTGCAATCATTGAGGAAATTAGAAAGAAACAACGTAAAGATGAGTTTTTGAAGAAAATCTTTGATGAGATTGATTCAAAACCAAGACCAGGATTTGTGTTGGAAGACGATGTGTTGAAATTTTAAGGCCGACTTTGTGTACCGGATTATCTGGATTTGAGAAAAAGAGTCATGACTGAGGCTTACAGTTTGAAATTTGCTATGCATTCAGGAAATACAAAGATATACCATGATTTGAAACAAAATTTCTGGTGGTCGAGAATGAAAAAAGGCATTGCTAATTTTGTGGCTAGATGCTTGCATTGCTAACAAGTGAAAGTTGAACACCAACGACCCACTGGATTACTTCAGTCGCTTCCAATACCGGAATGGAAATGGGAGCATATCACCATGGATTTCATTGTTGGACTGCCTCGCTCCTCCCAAGGTATGGATTCTATCTGGGTCATAGTTGATTGTTTAACTAAGTCTGCCTATTTTCTGCCTATTAAATTTTTTTATAATGCGGACAAGTTAGCTAACATTTATATGGATGAGATTGTGAGATTGCATGGTGTGCCGGTATTCATTGTATCTGACAGAGATTCTAAGTTCACGTCACGATTCTGGCAGAGTTTACAACAGGCCATGGGAACTGAAGTGCAACTGAGCAGCGCCTATCACCCACAGACAGACGACTAATATGAACGAAGCAATCAAACTTTGGAGGATATGTTACAGATGTGTGCCCTAGATTTCCAAGGGAATTGGGAGACTTACCTTCCTCTAGCCATATTTGTATATAACAGCAGTTACCATTCAAGCATTAGAATGGCTTCTTATGAAGCTTTGTATGGTAGGAAGTGCCGATCTCTGATTTGTTGGGCCGAAGTGGGCGATAGACCGTTATTGGGACTAGAACTTGTGCAATAGATGACAAAGAAAGTGAAACTGATTCAACAAAGATTGAAAACTGCACAAAGTCGTCAAAAGAGTTATGCGGATTTCCGTAAAAGAGACAGGGAATATGAAGTCGGGGATCATGTGTTCATCAAAGTAACTCCAATGAAAGGTCAGACATGATTTGGGGTGAAAGGAAAGCTAGCACCAAGATACATTGGTCCATATGAAGTTTTAGAGAAAATTAACTTAGTAACATACCGAGTGGTCTTACCTCCGGTGATGGAGAATATGCACAATGTTTTTCATGTTTCAATGCTTCGGGATTATCTGAGAGATCCGTTACATGTAATTGAGCTGACACACGTACTTTTGAAGGAAGACTACACATATGAGGAACAACTGATCCAAATTGTTAATCGAAGAATCAAAAGATTGGGGAACAAAGAAATTCCATTAGTGAAAGTGGATAGACAAAACCACAGAGGGACATATGCAACATGGAAGATAGAAGAGGTAGCTTGGTTTGTTTCCATTAGACCCAATATTCTACCAAAAAGAAGGTAATTCAAATTTGGAGGACCAAACTCCTAAAGAGGGGAAGACTATAACAACCCCAACCCATGATTAGCTTAAAACATGTGATTAAGGATGCCTAATAAGTAATTAAGATGAAATCATGAGTTAATTACATGTGCATCGCATTATTTAAGTTTCTATCTGTCTCTCGTAGGAATATCTATTTGTGTTTCTGTTTTGGTTTCTGAATTGAAGGCCTTACCCATGATTAGCTTAAGATTTGGTTTTGAATAATTGGCATAAGTTTGGGCCTTGATTTCATGAAATGATCTTGAATTCTCAATGTTTTCCAAGTTTAGATGTGTTTTCTCAAGTTTGAGGCCAAGGGGATGTGTTTTGAGGTGTTGAATTGGGATTTTGAGCTGGAAAGAGCAATTTGGAAATTCCAGATTCTGTCTCTCCACTCGAGCGACAGAACCTAAGCTCGAGCGACCACTCTGAGATCTTGCACTTCCACTCGAGCGACCAAAAGTTGGCTCGAGCGTGAAATGCAAACTCCCAGAAGTTTACCATTTTTGTAGACCACTCGAGTGACAAGAGTTGTGCTCTAGCGAGGACCTTAGTCTCACATTCAAGCGAACATCCAGCAGAAAAATCAAGCAACCAGTACTTTTACAGAGTTTACAGACCGCTCGGGCGACAGAAGTTGCGGTCGAGCGACCACTGACATTTTGCCTGTCTGCTCAAGTGAGAGAAGTTGCGCTTGAGTGAGACCGATGTTTTCAGCAAGTTTTGTTAAGTGTTTCCAAGTGCATTTTAGCATCCTCATTGCATCTTAGGCATTTCTAGGCCAAAATTAAGACACAATAATGAGGATAAGAAGTAGAAACACACCAAGACAATAAAGAACTAAGTTAATGATTCCAGGTGTGTAATTCAGTACGTATTCGTTCTGTATCTGTGTAGGTCACGTGCCACAAGATATCTGATTTGCCTACTCCGTCTGATTGCTTTGGAGCCAACAGTGAGTAATAACTTAGTAAAGTTATGTTCAACTTTAATTATTTTCTGTAAATGGAATAAAATCTGTTCTGTTAAATGTTATGTTCTATACTATGAATGATTGTCCAATTTCTGACAAGTATTCGTGGTAACGATTTCATGGCACAAGTATGTTATTTGTTCCTGGTTCGGAGGTTCCTCTATGGAACTGACAAGTTCTCTGTACCCGACCAGAGATTCCTTTGTGGAACTGACAAGTTATCTGTTCCTGGTCCGAAGGTTCCTTTAAGGAATTGACAAGTTATCTATACTTGATCGGAGGTTCCTTTATGGAACTAACAAATGTGACCTTTGTTACTCTGTATGTGATTTGTTAGCGCTAACAGATGAACCATGTAAGAACAAGCATGAATTCTGATTTTGTTAATGACTTGAACAAGAATATGAATATGAATCTGTTTCTATGTACGGACTTAGTTATGGGACATCATTCATTTAACCATTTACTCTGTTATTATTCACTAGGCTTCTGCTCACTATTATTATAATGTATGTAGGTGAGCAGGCACATGACTAGGCCTAAGTTACTGCCTAGAGAGTTTTGAGTCAGCCAGCTACTATGCCTTTCGGGGAGGTTCTATTTTGATAAGTCAAGTTGTGAATCTTGGGGAAGACGTTTTTGTTTGTTTTTGTTTTATCTATCTGTACATTGGGCTAAGCCTCTTAAGACATTATCTGTATGACAAGGCATGATGTTTAAGAAGTTGATATTATGAATATAAGTTTTAAATTTCTGTCTTATGTACGTCAGCATAGCTCAATGGACTATATATATTTTGTATATTTGCTTCCGCAGCCCTTGAGTATATGTCATTCTGTTCAGAGACCTTTTGTAATTCAAGGATTACTAACCGGTAATGACGCTAAACCTATAGGGGCGGGTTTGGGTCGTGACATAATGTCTCCTTGCAAGCCTTCCTATTATGACCGTACTTCTCGCATCTACCACACTGTACTCGTCTTACTTTCTCACCCCTAGATGGAATCCTATTCTTCCTTGGCCAACCAGGTGGCTTCTTACATATTGGAGGAAGAACAACAAGATCATCCATAGCTACAGGAGGTTTCTCAACAGTGGGTATTGGATAAATAGACTCAGCATAGCAAGCTTTGAACTTGCTAGTGTAATAAAATGGTTCCACATGTGCATACAAATCATCTCTGCTCTTTTGGATAGCGGTCACCACGTGAGCACAAAGAAATCCATTCAATTGCCATTGGTAATATGAGCGAGTTCTATTCAAGGCCAGGATTGAACTTCAAAAGCATGATCAAATGAATGACTACCCAACCAAGTTCTTCCACTTTTAAGAGCATTTACTAATGTTGAATCACTCTTCGGATAAAGAAAAGTATTCCATTTCTTAGCTTGTTCTCTCCTTCTTGGCATCAAATCCATGATCTTTAACCTAATTGAATCAATCATCTTCGTAGTGGGCAAATGACGAGCTTGACGGATTCATGAATTGAAAGACTCCGCCACATTCGAGTATATTTCACCGTATTTTTGTCCTTTAAAATATGCATTAGTCCACTTATCATAGGGAAGATTGGATAGAAACCTAAAACGATCCCTTTTCCTTCATCTTGTAATTCCTTCAAACACTGATTAAAACATCTCATTGTGAGAGCATAAGCACATGAAGAAAACAAAAAAAATTATTCTACTCCTAAGGGTATTGCTGAAACTTGAACCAGAGAACTAATCCCTCAAATTGGCCTTCAAGTGTTGGAGACAAAAATAGTGGTAAGCCGTAGGTAAAACCTTGAGTAAAGCCTCTAAAAGTCCAGCGTTCCGATCAGATATAAAGGTAATTGGTCTTTCATCCAACACTATATTCGACAAATGCATAAAAAACGATTCCCAACTGTTTGTAGTCTCTGTATCGACAATTGCCATTGCAAGAGGGAAAAAACCTGAAAAATAACATTTTACAATTAGCAAATACATTAAATGAAAAGGACAAATATAGTAGATTTTTACTCTGAATAACAGTAAGATGTTACTCTGAAAATAAGTAACATGTTACTTTGAGAATAAGTAACTTGTTACTTTTCAATAAACTATAGTAATATCTACCTTGATCCCCGTCCTTCGCTGTAGTTGTTAAGAAGGTGCCCTTATATTTCCCCTTCAGAAAAGTTCCATCGATAAACAATAGAGGACGACAATGCCTAAACCCTTGAATTGAAGCATTAAATGCAACAAAAAACCTCTTGAATTGTCCACTTTGATGGTTATAGTCAAGCTACAAATAGTTACCAGGATTTGTGCTCATCATAGTAACCATATACCATCGAATCTCATCATAAGACATAGAGAAATTCCCAAAAGTAGTAGTCCTAGCTTTCTCAACTCCTAACCAAAGATGATTGTACATAATGGTGAGTCCGTATTGATTTATAAATTGACGCACAACATCAATTGGCCGATTTTGGGGATTTCCATGAACTTCATTAACAATCAAACTTGTAACAAAATTTGAACTCATCCTTGAATTTTTAGAAGTACGAACTGCAGCTCCATAACTATGCTCATCATGTAGAGTCCTAATGTAGAAAAAATTATTAGCACTCTCTAGAGATGCATGTACTCGCCATAAAACAACCTTTGGACTCCCATATTGAACACACAGCAGTGACCCGACACTTCTCATTCTTCACATACATAAACTCAAATCCTATTTCAATGGCATATTTACATAATGCAGTCTGGAAATCCTTTGCACCTCCAATAAATCTTTGACCTACATGAGTAATTCCATTCACCCATCCGCAAGACAACAAAGTCCTTTCTTCATGTTGACAAAACATAGGCAGTAAATCTATTCCATCATCAGTAATGTTGGATCCACTAGCATCCCCCGATTCTCTAACTCCATGTTTTTCATTTGAAATGCCCATTTCAGTAATAGTCACATTAACACGATCAACACCAAGGGGATAAACAAGCGACAATATATTCTGAAAATTAGAATCATCATCAATCATGCATTACGAATGTCCAAGTAAACAGTACGATAACAGTATGCAGCCACTACTGTCAAACTTCTTCAATTTACAACTTAAGAAATCAGTTAAATCCTTCAATATGTAGTTTGACACAACCTTGAACATAATGGTACGATCACTATGCTTGTATAATAACATAAGAGGTGGAACCATTTTTCAAATCTGCAATCAATTAACAGTAAAAATTTACTGTCAATCAAAGTAAAATCTTATTGTTACTATCAAAGTAAAATTTTACTGTCACTATAAGTCTAAAAACAAATAACATAAGTATAGAATACCAGGGTAAAATTTTACTGTCATTCTATCAAAAAATAAAAAAAGAACAGATAATACCAGAGTAAAATTTTACTCTCATTTTATCAAGCAAAAACATAGCACATACCAGAGTAAAATTTTTCTCTCATTCTCTCAAACAAAAACAGAGCACATACCAAAGTAAAATTTACGCTTATTCTCTCAAACAAAAAACAAAGCACATAGAACCAGAGTAATATTTTACTCTAATTTTGTCAAACAAACTCAGATCAAACACAACAAAAATAAATCAAAAATAAAAACAAACAAACAAACAAAAATAATAATGAATCAACAAATCAATATACTTGATTGAGAAGAAAAACCTCTAAAACTCGATCAACACTCACAAATCTCAATGAAACTCTCAAAATCTGATACAGATTTGTACATATTTGAAATGTAAACTCTCGTTTAATTGAGAGTATTGATCGTCGGCAGTGAGATCGTCTATTGTTGACCAAGGGAGAGATCTTCGGCTGCGAGATCTTCAGATTTGGAGATCGTCTTCATTGATTCCGCAGATTGCGTTCCTGATTTCATAAATTGTCGCAGATCCGTATACTATATATCATCTCAGATTTCAAATATATGATACATATATAGAAGGGCAATATTGTCATAAAAAAAAGACAAATTATAAAATGTCCTTATTGAGGCGGACATCTCTTACTCAGGGATTTTTTGAAAGAAAATTGATTGAGTTATCTTTTACCGTAATAAAAAGTCCCAAAAGGAGGGTTTCACCAAAAAACCCTAAAAATAATTAAATAATTACACACTTTTCAACATTTATTAAGATGCTCTTAGAGCATTTTTTTGTGTATTTTTTTAAAAAAAATTACATAAAATAAAAAAATAAAAATTTGACCCATCTAAAAAAAATTATTTTTGTTTGGTTATTCTTATGAAAATGAATGGGGACACAAGTGTTTTCATTCATTTACGATTTTTTTTCTCCCTTTTAAATTGAAAATTCAAACATAATATAAATGAAATGAAATTGCTAAATTGCTTTTGCACCAGCAAGAGTTGGTAAGCCTACCTTCGTTTTACACCAGTTGAAGCTGCTTAAGCAATAGGGGCACAAAATTGAAGAAAATAAATAAATAATAGGGGAAAAAAAAAAAACCTACTCAACTGAACTCAATTCACACCAGTTGAAGCTGCTTAAGCAATAGGGGCACAAAATTGAAGAAAATAAATAAATAATAGGGGGAAAAAAAAAAAACCTACTCAACTGAACTCAATTCATTTGTCCCAATTACTTAACAGGACACAATTTTATCATTTTCTGGGAACATGATCTCTACCAACAAGTCCATCGGATGCACCGCCACAAACCCTCAATACTAAAAAAATTGTACATGTTTTCAAAATTTTTAGATTGCAAGTTTTTCATATTCAAGTCAATGAAAACTCAACAAGTGCAATGATTAAAAAAGACCTTAGATTCCACAATATATATAAAATAAATAAATAAAAATCTCAATTCCATCCAAGGCTATGTTTACAAGAACTCTCAAGTTAAAATGCAATGATATCTCGAATGATATATTTGAATATTACAGCATATATATTTCCCACACAGATAAAGAAAAGCCCATGGGTGACACAATTACATGAACTCATATTTCAAATTTATAAATATTTATGATACCACAATATAGATTGTCTTCACTTTATATACTAATCATAGGATCCACCTTCACTGTTCCACGAGCATCGTGGACGGGTCTGGAGCTCCTAGTTCTTTTACTAATGGCATGGCTCAGCAAGTGAAACAGTTGGTTTGATCAGTAGAAATTTGATTTGTATTTGGCTGCTTGCGCTCTCTTGCCATTTTGCAAATAGCCTCAGTTGACAAAGACTGCTTCATTGCTTTTCATTTTCTGATCCATGGGAAGAAAGAACTTTGGCATGAAAACGATTATAGATACTTAAACTATAGAGCACTTGCACACTGGATTAATAATATCAATTACCAAGAATCTCAAACAAACTCTATAGTCAATCACTAATTATCAATTTTTTTAAATTATTACATCAGCTTATTGTGTCCCTTAGATAGTTGATTCTATCAGGAAGTGCACACCGGTTTAGTAAGGGACAACAATGGATTCTACAAGCTCTTGAAGTGAAGCTAGCTCCTTCTTGTCAATCAGTCCAAATTTCTGCATAAATACAGTATAGTGAAATTTCCAAACAGTATTAGGATATGATAGTTACAAACATCATCATATACAAGTAACAAAACTACACAACCAGTTTCTAAATTGAAACTCAAACCAGTTTTTCGAAGGGAACAAAGAACATAAAATGAGTTTCAAGACTTGAAGCATACTTGCACAGGTAAACAATATGAAATACTTGAAGCAGGTATTTAGAACAAAAAACGTAAAATGAGTCTCAAGACTTGAAGCATACTTACATAGGTAAACAATATGAAATGCTTGAAGCAGGTATTTAGATGGGCCTCCTCTTTAAGACTTACAATCTTTTGGAAATGAGAGTGATAAATATGAGCGTAAACACGGAACAAGCGTTTGAATATAGTTTTCACAACTTCTCTGAAGTCGGGAGAAAAGGGGGCACCTACAAAATTTAGAATAAACATAAACTAAAGGGAACAGAATAGTCCCAACCGGGAAAAAAACATGATCAATAATACAAAAATTAAACTCAAAAGTTCTTCGAGAAGATACTGTCTTTGACTTTTATCAAAAAAAGATTAATAATAAATAAGTGAACAAATCAAAACCATATATTACCAAGCCTTTGAGGAAATATGGATTCATCATCTAATTGAGATTCAATCCAGTCCATCAAATATTCAACATATTTTGGAGTTGAAACTTCAATTGGTTTCTTGATTTGTACATGCAGTCAGGAACTGAATTTCTGTGAAGTTGAATAACACAGATGATGATTAGTAAGACATACTTGGGGCCTGCAGTCATTGTAGGACAGTTTTCTGGAGTGCAGAACTCTGTGAGGGTACCATAAAGCAAATTCACCTGGTTGAAGAAGTCCATAGCTGAAAATTGAAAAAGCAAACAGCCCCAGTTCAGTTGATTCTCGGACAGAAGATTACAGCAGTATATGATTTTTTTTTCCCTTTTTCTTTTTGGTTTAGGGGTGGTTGGGAAAGTAAGCTAAGTATTGGCATGTAAAAGATGCACCATGTTCGTATGAGTCCAACACCAACAGTGCATGGACACTCTTCAGCATGTGTGCCATAAGCCCTAATACGTTTGGAATATATAAACTTTTAATATTGGACCTATGGCCAACACTTATACAATCCTTAATGTGTGGATGTCAGGACACTGTGTGTAGAAGTAAATGCAAAAATAGAGACCTATTGTTAAAAAAAGAAAGAAAAAGAAATGAGGGTTTTAGTAAAGAAGGATTTCTTTAAGGAAGAGAAGGCGAAGAATATGGCTTGTATGAATTATGTACATACATAATAAATGCACATATATCATACACTACTGGAAAATTCACATTTAGCGGTGTTTTAGGTGCAAAAAATGTCGTTAATTCTTTTTGTGACGTTTAATACCAAACGCCGACAATGCGGCCGTTGCTATAGCTTTATGGCGTTTAAAAAACGTTGCTATATTAGTATAGGTGGCGTTTGTAAAAACATTGCCAAATGTCCTACCCTAACGGTACTATGACATCACTATGGTTTTAGCGACGCTTTTTAAACGCCGTCATATCTTTTTTTATTTTAAAAATCTAACCATTATAGCGGCATTTTTAGAAATGTCGTCATATCTTTTTCTTTTTTCATTTTTTAAATTGTGCTAATTTTATGTGATTGAACTAAAAAAATGCCTGCATTAAAACTGAAAAAATAGCACCAACATGAAATAATAACTCCTATTGAAATAGCAAATGCAACATTAATTCACTTTCCCATTCAATTTAATATCCAATCACCATTAACCACAAAATAACATATCCACAAATCATGTTTTAATATTAACCACAAAATAGCATATTCACAAATCAATAAGAGGCTATGTCAAAGTTCTAAATTGGTATTTTATTTATATTTTTGCAACGAATGAAAAAAATCTACCTCTATGATTTTTATATTTAAAAAAAAAAATGCTTTTACATATATTATATATATATATTTTGGTCCCAAAGCACACACTGATGCTATTATATAATATTAATATGTGAATAGTCATCCCATATCCCATATACACTCTAAAAATACTCATGAAATATATGAAAACCAAAAGAATTTTGGAAAAATTTAGGAACCATGTCATATACATTATAGAAATACTCCAAAATGTGGAGATCTAAGAGAAGCCAAATCCTGGTTGGATTTTGAAGTAGACAGTCTTTTCAAAGTTGTGCTCCTTCCTAAACCAGAAGATGGTGAACTCACAGAGCTAGACTGCATGATGCCCTTCAAATTGCTTGTTGAATAAATAGAGCCATTATTATAATGGGGAGATCCACCAGAAACTTTAGGAGCATTATTGATTTGTGCTATCTGTGTTCCTCCCTCCCGCTTAGGTGAGGAGGTTCCAACTTTTATACTCTGAATTCATTGGATCCACTCCCAGTCATCTCCTGACACGTGGCTCTGCTATCCCATCTGTCAGCATAAACCATGCCATTCACCACCTAACCTCAACTGCCTGACTTCACAGCTGGAGTTCGGCAGCCGAGCTGTTCTACCTCGGCCATGTCATGCTTCAAACTCATGCGCCTAGCCGGACAAACACATGAAGGACCGGGCTAGGCGGCATCTCGGCAAAGCCTAGCCCGGGCTCCTCCTTTGGTTGGCCTTCTCGTCGGTCAATCAACTACCTCGGCTGACCGCGCCTTTCCGGGCGCCGGTCTCTCGGTCTGTCTGGTTTCGACCATCCTCGGACCGAGCATCCTGGTCTGACCGGTCACTTCCTGGCCGAGCAGCTTCCGTACGGTCCGGGGCGGCACACACTCAGTCCAAACTCTGCCCGGCCCAAGTTCTGGTAGCCCATTTCCGGGCAGATAGTTGATCAGCTCGGCCCCATACACCGTTGGGCCCTCAACCTGCTCGGCCGTCACCTCGGCCCAACTCCAGATCATAAATTACCCTCTCAATTATAGAAATACTCCAAAAAGTGGAGATCTAAGAGAAGCCAAATCCTGGTTGGATTTTGAAGTAGACAGTCTCTTCAAAGTTGTGCTCCTTCCTAAACCAGAAGATGGTGAACTCACAGAGCTAGACTGCATGATGCCCTTCAAATTGCTTGTTGAATAAATAGAGCCATTATTATAATGGGGAGATCCACCAGAAACTTTAGGAGCATTGTTGATTTGTGCTATCTGTGTTCCTCCCTCCCGCTTAGGTGAGGAGGTTCCAACTTTTATACTCTGAATTCATTGGAACAGAGCCATAATGCGCTGCAGCAGATGCATTAAATGATGAAGAGAGACTCTGACTAGAAAAAGAAGGTGCGGATGACCCTCTCTCAAGCTCAAACACTTCATCAACAATAGAAGAGAAACTTGATGGCAGATTTCCAGAACTAAGCATAGAACCATCGACGTTGAGCTCAGAGAGAAGACTAGACTGTACAGCAAATGAGTCTTATCTTGATGTAGAACCTGCATGAAAATTCAAGATACTTAGGAAATCCATGAAAATAATTGGCCATAATTCATGAAACTGAAGCGGTGAACTCAAATATACAGTGCTAACCAACCTACAGTGTACACATTGTATCTGTTGAGGAAAATATCGTTCCTATTGCTGAATCAAATTGGTAAGAAATAAGGTTGAGCCAAAAAGTTATATGACAAAAGAAATGTTAGTACATTATCATGGCATGTTAAAACAACACCCAAGGAAGGCAAGATAAGGATCAAACCAAGATAGTCACGAGGAGTCAACCCAACAAACCCAATCTTAGGGAACATCCATCAACTGCCTAAATAATAGTAACATTCAGTAAATTAGAGACCACTTAGACGAAATTAGTGTGTGAAAACACAGAAGAAACTTATCGAGAAGGAAATTACATCTGGAATAAATATGAAAAATAATGTATGAAAAATAAATATATCACCATCTGTGATAATGAGTGTTGATATGAAAACACAAACAACTCCAAACAGCAGGATGGTTAAGAAGTTTTGAAAGAACTGTTTCTTCTTGACCTGAAATCTATTGAAAGAGCTAGAAAAGTCACCCACTGATACATTAACACAGCCATTTTGATTTGAACTAGTTCAAGAGTACAATTCATATGGAAGCTACCCTTGCCTGGCATTAAATATTATAGGCGGAAAATTTCTTATCTTTTGTATCTAAACAACATCAAACAATGGAGCAACAATAACAACAATAATACCATAACCATTGCATCCAAAACAACCAACCAACAATTCAAAGTTCACATGATCATTCACAATGGAGTCATAACAATGCCGTAACAATCAAATCCAAGAAATGCCACAAACAATCAATGTAACGCAAAAGGCAATAACTCACATGATCGATCTGCAGCGTTGCTGGTGTGACCTTACCCTCAACCGCCTTGGTCAAGTCATTGTAATAGCTCACTGGAACTGTGGACTTCTTCTTAGCCGCCCCAGAGAGCGAAAACCAGACCTTAGGCCATAAAATCAGTGGAATCCCCTACCTGATGAGCTTCTTGAGGGTAACTGCATGACCTAAAGCTGAAAATTTAAGGGAATACTTAAGGGTTGATGAAGTTTGAGCCAGCAAATACCAATTGGCCCATTCACTCACAATATTTATATATATACTATTGTGAGTGAAGAAGAATGAAAAGAGATATACCTTGAAGCAGAGAGAGACTTGGTTGCAATAGTAAAACCCAAACAAAGAGATCAATATTCTATGAAAGAATCTAATAATCTAAATCCATGCAAATATAAAAACGCACTACATAATTTCCATATATTCTCCAACAAAAAAGTCTCATAGAAAGGATTAAATCAACCGCTAAAGATTAAAGTTTTGATGAGTAAACCAACAAGAAAACTATGGCCAGCAAGCCAAGGATCATTATATAAACTATTGCATGTACCATACCAAAATTGAAACTATATAATATTTAGACTTCTAAAAATAGTCATTTCCAACGAATATAACTTTCTAAGCTCCTCGAATGACTCAAATAATCGTTACCAAGATTGGGAATTTATATAACCAGTAACCAAACAAGCAGTCCTTTAATACGTGAAATTAATGAACTACCATTATATAAACTATTGATGCACATAATTGTTAAGGACAACTTAAACATTCCTAAAAAGTTGTATTTGAGAAGTACCTATCCCCCAAAGCACGATTTCTAAAACTACAAAAAAAAAAAACATGAATAACATAATGTCAACCCAACTTGGGAAAGAAAAATGCACAAAAAAAATAAAAAAATCAGTATATCTGAAAATCTGACAAGTGAAGTTCATATCCTGTTCTGCAACTGAAAATAGGGGAATTTCTCAACTTCCATGATAAAATTGGACAAGCTTTAAGATACTTAGTAGAGCATCCAAATAAGACAACAAAGTCCAAAAAAAAAAAAAAAAAAAAAAAAATACAAAAAAGAGTCATACTAAGTTGATCAAGATCCTAGAGCATCCAAATAAGACAAACAACTAAATTAATTTTTATGTTTTGGTTGTATATGCACTAAAATTAAAAGCATCAAAACTGAGCATTTTCAATATTTAACACACCATGAAAATTGATAATTGGACCACACACACATGTTGCAGACAACTACTAAACCATGATGAATTCCTTGTATATAAGCATTCTCTGTATATATAGGCGAGATCCCAAATTAAATTAAGTTATTTGGCATTTGGTAACCAGTAGACTGGTAACCCTTATTATTCCTTGGCCAGCTAGACTATTTGTACTATCTTCATTATTATTATTATTTTTTTCTCTTGAATAAGAACTAACCAGCAGAAGAAGAATGAGACTAAAAGCAAAGTAGGTCATTAATTTCTCTCATTCTCACCACTTAGAAGCAGCTCAATAGTAAGACATGGGCTCTTCTGTTCTCTCTCTCTCTCTCTCTCTCTCTCTCTCTCTCTTTTTTTTTTTTTTTAAATTTCATATTTGAAAATATTTTTCTTCAGATTATGGTACTTTAACATATTCAATATTTTTTAGGTACTCCTAGAAAATGATCAAGTACATGTAATTTCACTCCATTTCCTTTTTTGTTACTTCAACAAATCCTAAATCTATTATGAAGAAACTTAAACCAATTTTAATGAGTAAAAAATTATATTTAGATTTACAAGTTTCATTATTAATGAATATCACTACAAGTCTAACTAGTTTATCATCGCATCCACGAAACAACACTTTGGTACGAAATCCGCACAATTTAAGCAAAATAGCAAACATCTATTCATAAGCAGAGCACAGAAGAAACATTAGTTATGTACCCACTAAATCTTCACAAACCAATGGGAAGAAGATGAGCAATGAGAGATTCACAAATAGCTATTCACAAACAGAGCACAGAAGAAACATCTAAGAAAGAAACAAGTTTCAAATGTTCCTAAAATTTGAGCTCAACTAACCTCTGATCTCACTAATCGAACAAGATGAAGAGTTTCAAATCCACAAAGACAAACACCACATCTGGAATCACCAAGCTGAAGAAGGTTTTGAAGGATTCGATCGATTTTTCTAAGATTGTAGAAGGTGGTGCTCACAATCGAGAGAGAGAGAGAGAACTTCAAAATCAAAATTGCAATCACTCTGAGATGAATCACTAAGAGAAATCACGATGCTGAAGAGGAATCGAGAGAGAGAACTTCGTATTGATTCGATCCTCGGAGACTGACATTTGGGTTTAGAGAGGGTTGAGAGAGAAAAAGAGAAAGAGAGTCACCTTGGAGATGTGAGAATAGATCGACTTTGTATAGGGTTTGGAAATAGGGGTTTGAAGAGAGACAGGAAGAGGGTTTGGAGGTGTTTTTAAACGACCTCTATTCAGAAACAGGACCGTTTTAATTAACACAAAAGGCGACGTTTACAAAACGTCGTTAATTATCAGAAAAAGTGATGTTTAAAAAAATGCCGTTAATTAAATGTCACTGTAGACACCCCATTTTTGACCGTCCTCAAGACTTGGACGTCATCGTTTGAACACTCGGTGATCATCCATGTTCGTGTTCATTTTGAGATCCCGAAGGACTCGACTACGGGCCTTGCCTTAGGATCTCTCGACTTGACTGTTTTGTGCTTGGTTGTGGACCAAGGACTTGTGGTTTTTGCACCTGAGGGTAGGAAGTGGCTTGTTAGCCATCCCTTAAACCCACCGGCCTTGCTTTCTGTCTACCGACCAATTGTTTGGTCGGTCGGCACAGATATTTGGTCGGTCGGCCATTTATTTGGTCGATTGTCTCTTTTTCTGGCTGGTGCCTCCTTTTTGCCTTTTTCAAGCATTGTGCATGCCAGCTGTGCCAGCTGGAGTGCGCGGACTTGTCCTCCATACACGTGTATGGAGGACTTGCACCCTTTGCACCCTTTTGCTCTAAGCTTCTTGAAGAAGCTTAGACCCTTTGTCTTAGCTTCCTCCAGAAGGTTGAATCCTTTGTCTTAACTTCCCCAAGAAGCTTGGACCTTTGGTCTAGCTTCTTGAGGAAGCTTGACCCTTTTTGCCTTAGCCTCTCTAAGAAGCTTTGGTCCTTGTTTTGTTCTATAAAAGGAGGCCTCTCCTTCCATTAGGGGGGTCAGCAAATCAGAGATATATATGATATATATGTCACTCTCTCCCTATATCTCTCTCTCTCTCTCTCTTCGTGTGTGTGTGTGTTAGAGTGTCCAAAAGGGTGTTTTGTTCTTAGTTTTGCACTAAAACACCTAGTGTTACACCATACTTCGGTTTTGGAGGTGTTGAGAGTTTGTTCTTAGAGTTTTGAGTGGGTTTTGATCAGAAGGAGGGGGCTGGAGTTGCTGTTCTTCAAGTGTTCTTCAAGGGTGAGCAATATTGCTTTATATTCTCCATTTTTGCACTAGCTTTTAGCCTATCTTGCATGCTGTTTTAAGCTTAGTGTATAACTAATAAAAGTTTTGATTTTTCATGTTTAAGATGTTTCATTAAGGTCATATCGATGTTTGGGGTTGTCCTCCCCCTCTTAGGCCTTGTTTGGCCCTTTTTGTACCTTCTTTGTTTGAGCTTTGAGAACTTTCATGTATTGGCCTTTTCACCACTGAAATATAGAGGATTTTCAGTAGTGGTGAAGGAGTTTTGAGGTCTTGTATAGGGGAGGGACACCCCTCTCCCTTTGTGTCTCATTTGCTTGTGTTTTTGGCTCATAAGGGTAGCATGCATGCTTAATCAATTTTGGTTCCATTTCAGAGGGTTTTTGGTGTTATTTGGTCATATTATACCTCTATTTTTGGTCGGATTAATAGTCCATTGCATGCAACATACACTTGCTTTGTAATCTCCTCTATTGTCACAACATGCACCATGCATTTAGCCCTCCATGCTTGCATGTTTTAGCTTGACTTCATGAAGCTTTTAGTCATGTTTCATCACATTTAAGCTCTGTTGGGTGTTGATTTGATCATGCTTTTCATACTTTGTATAGCCTCTTTGCATTCTAGCTTGTTGGCTTCGGGTGTGTGAGTCTTTAGTATGCATTACTTGGGTTATTTCGGTGATTTAGAATCACTTATCATACCATTTCAGTCCATGTTTCATGCTTATATACTTGCATTTGCCATCCTCTCAATGCTTTGAAGGGTTGTTGTTTTGTACTCCATGTTTGGGTTATTGTGTATGCCTTTAGTCTTAGGCCATTTAGATGCTATTTAGGTAGGTTTTGGGGGCTTATTTAGCATGTTGTAACTCTATTTTGTATTGATTAGTCCATGCCTTGCTTGGTTGTGATAGTTGTGATGGAGTGCTCTCTTTGTAGTCTTGAATGCCTTTGCTTTTGGTGCCTATTTCTTAGCATGTTTTGGCCATGTTCCATGTATGTTCCAGCCCTGTTTTGGCCTCCCCTAGGACTGTCCTAAGTCCTCTTGTCCCTTTGGGGTTCGTTTGATGTGGCTATGGTTTGAACCCTCTAGTTGGTCTCAAGCTTGGGACCCCTTTGCATGCTATGTTCCACTTGTGTGTTTGGATTCAGCACTCCTTCTATCATGATTTCAGAGCTCAGCATATTTGTAAAATGCCCATATTTGTCTCTTTTAAGTATGCTTAGAATTGCCTCTTTTATGCCTTAGGTGATGGGCCTTGGTGCATGCATGCTTGTATGTGTCATTCATGTTTTTTGTTACATCATTATTGGCCACTATTATGGACAAGGCTGAGGTCTGTCCATCCATAGTGTAAGACCATGGATCATGCATTTGTATATTGTTGCATGCTCATTACATTGTATGATTGTTGCATCCCTGTAGTTAATGCATTGTTGCATGCCTATCACTTTGCATAGTTGCTTATTTAGGTTGCATTGTAGTGTTGTATACTTATCATATTGCCATGTTGTTTACATGATAGGTTGCGTTGCACGGTATTTGGCATACTCATGTTTTATTACATTAGTTGCATACGTTGCATCGCTCATGTTGCATTGCATCAATTACATGTTTTTGTATTGCATTTGCCATACATGCATCACATTTTTGTTTGGTTTGGGGTGTCAAACCAAACATGAGGAATGAGATGTGTTCGTACTTAAAGTGACGAAACATGTCTCACTCCTCGTCGCCAACACCCTTGATCTCAACATGATAGGGCGTGAAGCATCCATTTGTTTTGTTGCATGCATTTACATTGATTAGCAAACTTGGTACCTTTGGCCATCATGCGTCAAAATGCGTGATTGGTGGCCCGAGTACCGAGGGCCATACTCCTTTGAGATCATAGCATGATAAGGAGGGTGGCTATGCACACACTGTCTTGAAAATTCCATGCCATGCATTGTTTGTCCTCTATTGTAGCAAAACCAGTATTCTGCAGGAAGAAATGGCCAGCCGGCCACTTTTACTGCCGACCGACCATCAATGTCAAGCCGGTGATCCAATCTTTGGCCGATAGCCACATTTCCTTGGCCGGTAATGTTCTATCTTGGCCGGTGGCATCCTAAAGTGTGCAGGGAGTGTTTCAAAAGCATCACAAATGTTTTCATGGTTCTTAGAGGTGTAGAACAGTGTAAACAGAGGCAACAGTGGCATGGCGACAGGTTTCCGAGCGAGGCGAATCGAGCATACATCATCCAAGCATTCTGAGGCAGAGCTACGGCGGCCTCTTTACTGCTTTAGTTGACTAGTTAATTTGTTAATTAGTTAAGGGATTGTGTAATATTTATTTAGCTTGTTAGTTAATTAAATTTGTATTATTCTTTCGGACCCTCCGAGCGAGGGCAATTGTGTAATAAGTGTGCGTGAGTGTGTGTATGTCTTCCAACCCCACGTCTTTCTCCCTTTTATTTACTAGCTTATGATGGTTAGATTAGGGCATGTTTCAATTAGCATACTTATGCTCGCATGTTTGCATCCATTCATCTATCCTGCATGCACCGAGCTCGGCGCATCATACTAACTGCATTGTATTTCAATTCCGAGTTGAATACATGTTATCTGTTGCATTCCATATGCCATGTTTAGAATAGCCGAGCCTATTGTAGTTGCATTTTTGCATGTGTTGCATTAGGCATTTCAGCATAGTTAGGGCTTATGCATGATCTCTAATTAGCTTCTTTCTTTGGCTTGGAGTACTCGGTAAGCATTTACGCTTTAGCATCCTTACATGAGTGTGGGTGTTGCCATGACAACATACTTACCATGAGGCTATATGCTTATATGATATAACTGCCTGAATGCCTGTGGGTGAAGGTTGGATTATTAGAATTGGAATAATGCATTGACTGTGAGTTTTAAAGCCCACTTGAGAGTGGCAAATCCATATTTTAGCCTACTTACGAGTAGCAAACCGTTTTCAAAACAAACATGAAATGTTTTGTTCCAATTCAGGCGATCCAGTCTATACTTGTATGATGTGCGCATCACATAAATAAATCTAGGCTAATAATCGGAATAAGAACGCATAATATTTTCAAAACTAGATATCATGGTTAGTACAGGCCGATCTTCGGATCTGGCAAGCAGGGGTGCTCATATCTGACCTTCCCCAATCGTACCCAAGTTCCCAAGCCGAGGCAACTTTGGTGATGACGGACACGTGGCCTTAGACAACGAGTCAGGGTTTCCTAAATTCCCCCAAAATAATAAAACATTTAGGTGGCGACCTGTATCTGGCAAAGCAGTCCATGTTTGGCACTTTTTTTTTTAAAAAAAATCTGTTTTTCAAAACGATTTGCCGAATTTAGACTCTTTGGTGATTTATCAATCTCACATCGCACATTGTGAGAACAGATTAAGAACAGTGACAATTTGAGTCATGAACTATAGTGAGCCCAAATGAACAGAACGGGATTCCCTCCCAGGACGTTCGAGGACGTCTACAGTTTCTGGCGACTCTGTTGGGGAGTTAGAGAACTTGACTCGAACTCATGATATCTTGTTTTGATTACACTTATATGTTTCTTTGCATTGCATTTGCATTGGTGCACCTAGGACACCGTGTTTGCCATATGCTATTCCTGAACGGTTTGCCGGAGGCTCGCTTTGAGAAGCGTGCCATAAGGCTGACCGGTTACGGGCTCTGCCACGATGGGAACACAAACCCTATTTTATCGGGGCACCCTTTTTGACCATTCGACCTAGTGCATATTCTGAATCCATAGTGACTATCCCAAACTAGGACAGGTTGCTTACCCGATTATAGGTTGTTTGAAACCACTGCGTGCATAGTGAAACCCTTAGCTCCTGACAACATAGGACAGGGAAATCCTATCCCAACATAGGGGTGTTTTGGCTCTCACTTGTTTGCTATGTGCTTTTAGATTGCATCTCTA